GTATGAAGAAAAAAATGTAAAAGAAATGTCAGACTGTAAAGTAGATCTAAACACAAACTGGAGAACATGTAGGTTACTATAGCCACCTGTATCCATTGTTAAATTCAACCAAGAAAATATTTTCACCAACTAAATTAGAACTATTTTAATCGACTAAAACTAAAACAATTCAGGAGACTGAAATACGACTAAAACTAAAATGGCATTTTAGTAAAAAAAAAAAAAATCGAAATTTGATTTCAAAATGAACACAGCACTACCACATAAGAATAAGTAGAGGGCATCTACTGAACTGCTGAAAAAAAAAAAAAATAAGAAAAAGGCTTTTCTTATATTTTTTTCATAATATTTAATGTTGGTAATATATTCAGATATGTGCAATGGCATTACAGCCAACAGAGTTTACAGTTTTGTGTTTTTTTGTTTATTTTTTAATTTTAAAGTTGCACTTCTGTTTGTAAAAAAGCAATATTTTTGCTTGTTTATGAAACTTGGTTTTATCCAGAAAGATGTTATATATCATGACGGCTAAATCTGTGTCTATAGTGCATGTTCAAACTTTAAAGCGGAGCTCCACCTAAACGTGGAAGTTCCGCTTTTAAGGGTCCCCTGCTCCCCATTAAGGGTTGGCACCTTTGGGGAGCGGAGAAGGGGGGGGGGTGCAGGTACCTGAAAATTGACAGGTACCCGCTCCCACTTCGATCACCTAGGTCAGTGGTTCTCAACCTTCCTAATGCCACGACCCTTTAATACAGTTCCTCTTGTTGTGGTGACCCCCAACCATAAAATTATTTACCCAGAAATAACAATTCATGAAGTGTCGTTTTACCTCCAATACTGCTGCTTTCTACACAGTAGCTGCTTTCTACACAGTAGCTGCATTCAACACAGTAGCTGCTTTCTACACAGTAGCTGCTCTTTACACATCAGAAATGTGTGTTTTCCCAATGGTCTTAGGCGACCCCTGTGAAAGGGTCATTCGACCCCCAAAGGGGTCGCGACCCACAGGTTGAGAACCACTGACCTAGGTGATTGGAAGCGGAAGTTGTCCTTCTACCCTCCCCGTATCTTCTAGGACATGTGACAGGTCCCAGAAGACTACGGGGCCATTCAGGCAGCACAGCACTACTCGCGCATGCGCAGTGGGCACCCAGCTGGGAAGCCGCAAGCTGTCACAGCCAGGTGCCCAAACTGAAGATGCCTGATGCGTTTCCCCAGGCACCTGGAACTCCATTCCAGACAGCTGGTGAAACGGGCTGCGAGGGACACACCGCAGGATTGTGGGACTTGTGAGTGGCTGTTTTTTTCAAAAGTCAGCAGTTTACAGTTTTTGTAGCTGCTGACTTATTTTTTCACAGTGCTCCTGGAACTCCGCTATAATACCATAAATAACATTTTATTAGATTTTTACTCCAGCATTATATAATGAGTTTGGCAAATTCTAGCGAAATGCCTAAAGTGGAGTTCTAGTCAAACTGTAAAAAAAGGAAAGTCGACAGTACAAAAACTGGAACTGCTGACTTAAAAAAAAAAAAAAAAAACAGCCACTCGCCTGTCCCTTGATCCCGCGGTGTCCTCTCTGCTCCCCGATTCATGGCTGTCTTGTGCTTCCAGAGCATCTTCAGTGTGGGCACCCGGCTGTGACAGCTTGCGGCTTCACCTCGCATGCATGTCCTGCGTGGTCCTGTAGTCTTCTGAGAGCTGTCACCTGTCCCAGGATTTTTTTTTCATCAGAAATATTAAGCATAATACATACTGGCCCAAATTTATGAAGAATTTAGATTTTTTTTCAATTTTGTTTTATTGGATATGTTTTATAGCAGAAAGGAAAAAAAATATTGTTTTTTTTTTTGTTTTTGGTTTTTTTTTTTTTTTTCTGTCTTTTTCCATTTCTAGCACAAAAAAAACCCAGTGGTGATCAAATACCACCAAAGGAAAGCTCTATTTGTGTGAAAAATATGATATAAATTTCATTTGTTCACAGTATTGCATGGCTGTGTAATTGTCAGTTACGCAGTGCCAAGAAGCAAAAAAAATGGCTTGGTCATGAAGGGGGGTAAATCTTCCAGAGGCAGAACTTCACCTTAAAGAAAAGTTCCACTTTTTCTAATCCTCCCCTCACCCAACATTTTTGGCATTTTTTGGGGGGAGGGTGGGGTGGCAGATACCTATATCTTGCAGGTACTCCGCTGGGATCACTTAGGTGATTCCTATAGAGGTTTGGTCCTCTTCCCTGCCCGCAACCTCTTGGGACATGTCCCCTGTCCCAGGAGACTACAAGTCCAGTCATTAAGCACATTGCAGATATGTAGTGGGAAGGCATCTGAGAAACCGCAGGGAGTCACCCCCGGCTTCCCACATTCAAGATGGTAATGCTGGCGACCTGAAGACTGGCCCAAGTGAGGACAGCGCTGGATCTATGGACAGGAATGTATCCTTTTATTAAAGTAGGAACTATAGCCAAAACTTTTTTTTCCATTTTGAATGGAGCAAGGGAGGGTTATAACCTCTGTCAGGATTTTTTTTTTTTTTCTAACATCCCATTGTTGTCCCATTGCAGAGATTTCTCTTCATTTCCTGTCCCATATCCGAAAAAGGAAGTGAGAGGTAATCCCTGAAAATGAAGAGAATTCCTTGGGGACCCCTAAGGCACCAGAACTAGTGTCCCCATTGAAAGATTTCCCCTCTAATCCTGCTCTGGGGACAAGCCAAAATGTGTGATTTTCTTTTACTTTCACTTTTCATTATTAAGGTTAAACGGGCAAATAGAGAGAGTGAATCTCCCTAATGGGGGCACAGACAGCAATAAAAAAAAAACAGTAGTTCTAATCTCTCTTCACTCTATCCAAAACTAAAAAAAAAAAGGTTTTTTTTAGCTGACTGAAGAACCTTTTTACCATAAGATGATCAGATTTTCAAAATGAATTCTGGGGACACCCTCCTGACTCTGCCCACATATGACTACACCCAGGGGCGTATTTATCACAAGGCAAACAAGGCACTTGCCTAGGGCAGAATTTTTCAGGGGGGCAGCACCTCCCCCCAGAAGAAGATTTGAAAGAAGGGACACACGCACCACAGGAACCAGGTGGGATCCAAAAGAGGCTGCGGGCTACTTGATGGTGTATGTAGAGCTTGGCTCTCATTCCCGGAGATGTCCGGAGCTGTAAAGATGAGTGTCTTTCTCTCTATCGCCAGGGGGGGGCTAGTGGAAGGCTCTCCCAAGTGTGGGGCAGGGGTGTTGTTGGTCAATGTCAGGCTCTCTCCATGGAGGAGGAAGGTGGGGGTGGTGGTGTTGGTCGGTGTCCATGTGGGCAGACAGTTTTTGTGTTGCCTAGGGCAGCACAAAACCTAAATGCACCATTGACTACACCCCCATTTAAAGACACCCCCACAATAGCATCATCTGTTTTCATGGTGCTAGTGGGACACTTGGCAGCTGACATCCTAGCAGCAAGTGACGCTGGATTGCAGGGTGGTGGGTCCAGCTGTCACTGACTTGCGGTCATAGGCCAGCCAGGCCAGGGGCTCCTTTTTAAAAACAGGGACACTTTCCAACAGGGGACAATCTCAACCCCAAAATAGGGAAACAATATGTTCCTCTACAGCATCAGATTTTTAAGGTACACCATGAGGTCAGAAAATATCATTTAAAACATATTTTTTTACTTATACATATTTTTGTTAAAAGATCCGCTCGGACCGCTAGCCCAGCCCAAGTATATATATATATATAATTCATACATACATACATGCACAAAATCATAAGAATCATAAGAAAATCATATATACAACAGTGTTTCATGATTATGGATAAGACACCCCAGATGCGTCAATAATCCATCATTTTTACAATGTTCTAATTCATCTTAAGGTAATTGCTAGGGTGTCCTTTCCAAGTGTCGATGCGTTTCGGCTACCACTGCTTCCCCTGGATGGAACAGTTTTTGTACACGAAGTAAAATAAAAAAAGATAACATCATTAAGTATATAAGGGAAATAAGGGATAATAAACATTCTCTGACATCGCACTGGTATACTAGTTTCTCAGGTGGTCAAGGGGCCACAACATCAGGCGCCCACAGAGGAGATGTACATCACAGAGGCCCTTAATATTCCATAATAAGAGCATTCAAAGAATGTATGATTGCAATATCACCGCGTACCCCTAATAATATTCATGCTAATATATCTCACCCTTACAGAATATCAAGTTGGCAGGGGAGGGAAAAGTAGCATGAGACCATCGCAACAATCCCAAAAACACATCTTAATAGTTGTTATGGGACATTTTTTAACCACTTGCCCCCAGGAAGATTTACCCCCCCCCCCCCCCTTCATGACCAGGCCCTTTTTTGCTATACGATGCTGCGCTACTTAACTTATAATTCCGCGGTCATGCAACACTATGAACAAATTAAATTTAAATCAGTTTTTTTCACACAAATAGAGCTTTCTGTTGGTGGTATTTGATCAACACTGGGCTATGTTTTTTTATTATATAAATGAAAAATTATTGAAAATGTTGAAAAAAAAAAACAACAATACGTTCTACTTTTGTTATAAAATATAGCCAAAAAAAAAAATCAAATTTCTTCAATAATTTAGGCCAAAGTGCATTCTGCTACATGTGTTTGGTAAAAAAAATCCCAATAAGTGTATATTAATTGGTTTGTATGAAAGTTATAGCATCTGTGAACTATGGTATATATACTAGAACAGGCCTTGAAATTTGCACTCGCCAGCTCGCACTGGCGAGTGGAATATATGGTGGGGGCGAGTGTGTCCCCCAGGGCCGTCTTTGCTGAGCAGGCTCGGAACTCAGGCCGGATCTGTCATTGGCACTGGGAGCAGTCAGACTGCTCAATAGCTGAGCACAGTGAAAGCAAAGGAAGGAGTGTGTGCTGTGCTCTCTGCCTCCCCCTAGAGTGCAGTACCCGGCTCTGTGAGTGAAGAGAACAAAGTACTGCAACTTTGTATAGTGTGTGTATTTGTGTGTCTGTGTATGCATGTACATGTGTCTGTGTGTATGTACATGTGTGTATCTGTACATGTCTGCGTGTATGTACATGTATGTGTGTGTGTACATGTGTCTGTGTATGTATGTACATGGGTCTGTGTGTATGTACATGTGTTTGTGTATGTATGTATGTACACTTGTACATACAGAAACAGAAATGCACACATACAGATACATGTACATAAACAGTCTGTGTGTATGTACATGTGTCTGTGTGTGTGTATTTCTGTGTATGTACATGTGTCTGTGTGTATGTACATGTGTCTGTGTGTGTATACATGTGTCTGTATGTGTGTGTGTACATGTGTCTCTGTGCGTGTGTGTGTGTACATGTTTCTGTGTGTGTATGTACATGTATGTGTACAGGTCTTTGTTTGTGTGTGTGTATTTACATGTGTCTGTATGTAAACATACATGTATGAGTGGTTAGGTCAGATTCAGGATGATGTGGTTATTATGGGTGGTAGACTATGGGGCATTTGAGGTACAGCTGGGTTGGATAGAAGGTAGGATATGCTTGGTAGAGTTATGGTTTTGTGAGTGAAAGGTTATGGGAGGTTATGGTTGTATGCGGTGCATGGTCTAAGTAGGATGGAGTGCTTAGAGGGACATTGGAGGCCCTGATGTAATGTGGGGGGACTCTGGGGACCCTGATGTAATGTGGGTAATATTTAACAGTGTAATTTCATAAAATAATTTACGAGGGCGTTTAGGGGCGGAATTAGGGGTGTAGCAGGGTAGGGGTTTGGTGGGGCAACTGGTGGCGAGTAAGTCTTAAGGCCTGGCTAGTTGCTCAGGACTTGAAATTTTAAGCCCTGTACTAGAATTTACGCAGCTATGGTGCTGTACTGGTAATAGCGGTGATCAGTGACTTATAGTGATACTGTGGCAGACAATCTGGCACTAACAGACACTGGCTGGGAGGGAAACTTACTGACATTGACATCAATAGTGACACTAATACAGCAATCGGTGCTAATGCTGTACACTGTCACTGTACTAATGACACTGGCTGGGGAGGGGTTAACCTCTAGGGGCAATCAAAAGGTTAACTTTGTGCCTAACAATGTGTATTGTGTGCTGCTTTTACTAATCAGTGTGGATGTTTTTTCTCCCTGCTTTGCAGAGAAAACACAGCCACATCCTGCTCTCTCGGTACAGAGCCCTGTGTTGTTAGTAAACACAGGGCTCCGTACTGTTATTTGCTAAGCCAAGCTGACCAACTTGTGCTGTGATACTGTGGCAGACAATCTGGCGCTAACAGACTGGCTGGGAGGGAAACTAAATTACATTGACGTCAATAGTGACACTAATACAGTGGTCAGTGCTAATGCTGTACACACTCACTGTACTAATGACACTGGCCGGGGAGGGGTTAACATCTAGGGGCAATCAAGAGGTTAACTTTGTGCCTTACAATGTTTGTGCTGCTTTTACTAATCAGTGTGGATGTTTTTTTTTCTCCCTGCTTTGCAGAGAAAACACATCCACATCCTGCTGTTAGTAAAAACAGGGCTCTGTACTGAGATTGTACTGTGATTTGCTAAGCCATGCTGACCAACTTGTGCTGTACCAAATGACAGCACAGTTCAGGCAGGGAGCATACACGTGCCCTCTACCTGGAAACACTGGATCACGTACATGTACCTGATCCAGTGCAGCAGCCTACTTGGCCACAGTAAAAAAAAAACGCTGTGGGCGGTCCTTAAGTGGTTAAACACTCCAGCGCTAACTTTTATCACATTTATTGACTTCATGGGATGCTGTAAGAGAATGGAGCCCCCTAAAACAGGAAACTAGGGGCAGCAGGGGAAACTAGGGGCTTAAACTGGCATTCTCCAAATCTCTCCAATGGGACACAGATGGAAAAAAAACTCACAGGGGTTATTATTATTATTATACAGGACTTGTATAGCGCCGACAGTTTGCTCAGAGCTCTACATTATGGAGGGAGACAGTACAGTAACAATACAGTTCAATACAAGAGGGATTAGAGGGCCCTGCTCCTTGGAGTGGTTATAACCCTGCTTTCAAAAAAGAAAAAAAAAATTCCTATACAGATGTGTGGATTTTTTTTTAAAAAACGACTTATCCAGGACTAAAGCGGTGTCCCAATCTACTTATCCCTCATGGGAATCTACTTGTCCTGATTAAAAAAAATTTATTTTATTTTTTTTTTAACCAAAACTGTATTTAAATCTGAGTTGATTTTAGGAAGGTCTGGGGCTTTTAAAAAACAAAAGGGGCTTTATGGCAACTTAAAAGTGTAATATTTTTTATCATTGTGCTATTTCTCTCCTCATCTCCTTGCCTGTCTCCAGCACCGCACACGGGGACTAGCAGGGAGGAGACAGACCTTGCAGTGTTTTGTCAGGAAAGGGGAGTGTTGGGCTTAGTTAGCCTTTATCCCTTTCACAGCCAGAGCTGTTTTTCCATTTTTTGCACACGTTTAAAAAAATCATTTTCGGCATGAAGATTACACAAAACCCACAAACATCATGTAGTGGAACCGACCCAGACTGCACTTGAATACTTCTGTTAAACTACCGCTTCCCCGTCCAAACACTGACAACAGACACCACAGCCGACCATACAAGACTAGACAACACCGGTCTTGCCGCAAATCAAGAGCTAGACTAACAAATTGCTCTTTTCATTTATCCCTATAATACCCTTTCTCAGATAAATCTATGTAAATAAAATCAAATATACAAACACAGACGTGTAATAACACTCAAATTGGATGAAAATATATATAAAAAAAATTACAATAAATAAAGCTATAGTGTCCAAAAATGTCTTTCAACCAAGTCAGATCACTTTTTCTCCTCTTTCATAACTTCTTCTTGTGATATTATATATGGAATTTCAAATACAAGGATCCAATGTAGAAAACCTCAAAAAAATATAAACCGCAAATAGTGTATTATCTTAATTACATATAATTGTGCGCTATGTGTCATGCACACTCTATAAAAGGTGTTCAAACCGTGAGAAAAAAAATAATTGTTTTATCTATATATATATATATATACTCTAAATGTGCACCAACAAGATAACTCAAAATACGTGTAGAGTATATCTCATTAATTGTGACAGTGAACTCAACACACTGCAACCACTACTATTATACCATAAAACAAATGTGAATCCAAACAATTGGTGTAAAAATGACCACTCCAACCTAATGCAACAAATGAACAATTACCCTATAGAGGTAATAATCCGCTTTACAAAGTGGTGGATGGCTGCACCTCCAAATTTCTCAAACTTCCTTTAAGCATATATCCACTTTCTTTAGGCATATCTCCACATCCCTCATAAGGTAAAATAGGCAGTTAGAGGCTTTTTTAATATTAACCACATGTTCTTTCAGTCTAATATTCAGATGCCTTTTAGTTCTCCCAACATATTGGTACCGACATGGGCACTCTCCTCTGCTGCCACTTCCACATTAGTGGAATGTTTGCCCATGTTTGCTTCCAAGCCAGACAGACAATAGAACAATGGGATGCAACCACATAACACCAAACAATCCCCACCAAACAAAATTTCAGTACAAAATACACTTAATTTTAGGGCACAAAACAGCAATAAATTACCCATTTTTTAGTTAAATATAAAAGATGAGGTTGCACATCTGCTTGTGAAATGGCAACAAACTTTAGCACCCTATATTTTCTATAGGTGAGGCTTTTAAACCCCCTTATATGTCACCAGTTTAGTGTTACAGAGGAAGTCTGGCGTGTGCTGCAATATGTTACGTGTGTTTCGCAATCGGTGTTTTCGTGCGTTGGTGTCCCGGTGTGTGCTTTTACGTTTGTACGTGCGTACATATGGGTTGGGGGGCCTCCAATTTTTTTGAGGGTTATTATGTGCTTGGGTGTAACTTTAATTTTTTACAATTAAAAAACATTGTTTTTACTTTTATTTTCTTCACATCGGGGACAAAAAGTCCCCGATGTGATGATTTTTGGTGACAAGTTCTCTTTATTGAGACAACCAGGGTCTAAGATACCCTGCATGTCTCCCCTGTACTCAAGTGGATGTAATGCAGTGCTTACAATCAAGGGCAGACTGACAACTCATAGGGACCGCGTACAATAGGGGATCATGGGGCCCCTGTGTCCTCGCCCACATTCACAAAAAAGCCTACGAAAGCTACCAGGGGCATCTCATGGGGCCCCCTAATGACCACGGGCCCTCAGGCAGTGCCCGAGTGGTCAGTCCACCCCTGCTTACAATTTGTCAACGGGCACCTAGAAGTGAGGTCATCACGGCACTTCTAGGTCAGGAGAAAAACAGGAGGGGAGTGGACATGCCCGCTCTTCTCCATCCCCTCTACACGCTGACACCCACTGAACTGGTCCCGGGCCTGCAAATGGGCAAGCGGAGCCCGGGAGACATAGCAGGCAGGACGGAGGCACACGGGGGGGGGGGGGGGGGGGGGGGGGGGCAGAGGCTGTTGCTTTAGTGTGCTGTGTGGAAGCAATTGGCGGCAGCAGTGCCACCCGACTGCTTCCACCTGACAGGTGAGCCCTGCTGCTTGCCCGGCGTTTTAAAGGTTTAAAAAAGCTACCTGCCCGGCGCCCAGAACAACATGTCCCAGGCGTCATTCGATACAAATTGAACATCCCTGCTATAGTCCTACTTTTAAAAGATGGTAATTCCCCATTTTGAACAGATGGTGGCATTATTGTGCAGACATTATGTAGTGTGATAGAAAATCATGGACACATCTGGATGCCTTTATAGGCCGATATTTATTGTTTTATCTATTACAGGTAATTCTATAGCACCAATTTATGCTGCACTTTACATGTAGATTACATTCACATCAATCCCTGCCCTCAAGGAGCTTACAATGTGATGTAAAAGGCTTAACGTGAACCTTCACCTATTACAAGCACATTTCTTCTTCTGGTTCCTCCCTTTTACAGAACTGGAAAGTGTTTAAATTTTGTTATTTATTCTGTATCCACTTCTGGATTTCCCACCTAGGTGAGAATGACATTGGGACACCCCACTGCTTCCTTGGATTGCCATGTCACATCTCAGGTGGAGGTGTTGTACACAGGGGCACATGCACACCGTGAGAGCTACACCTGCGCAGACATGATGGTACTGTCTGCCAGGTATTTGAGACCTGCAGTATTTCTACCCACTTATTGCAGATTCCCGTGCATGAGCACATATACTGTGGGTCCCTGCAGGGTCCCAAGGCTGCAAAGGTAGGATTTAGGTGGCTGGTCAGGGGTTGTAAAAATGTAGGTCAACCCCAAGTTTTTACTGCCCCTTTGTGGCCCGCATGAAATAGCCCTTAGGGCTCTTTCACACAGGTGGCCTGGGGGCAGTAAAAACAGGTTTTATCACCCTTACCAAATTCTAACAATACAGTCGGAC